TCATGTTGCTACAGAAAAGAATTTCCGCGGCCAAGAATTTTCTTTTCTTTCCAGGTCACAGCTCAGGCTTATTTCTTTTTCATTTATATTCTCGCACAATTCTCTCATCAATTCAAAATTTGTTTGTTTTTTTAAATAATTTCCAACATGCCTGATCACTCATATTCAATGGTTACACAAAAATCGGCCGTTTCTGTGACCTACTAATGGCAATGCGAAATTCAAACAAAAATTCTTAAGAGATTTTTGATCTGTGTATGGCGGGCTTTACAGTCTTTCAGCTTAAAGCGGAGGTCCAATCATAATGGGAAAAAAAAAAAAAAAAAAAAAAAAGAGAAGGAAAGTCAGCAGCTACAAAAACTGCAACAAATTCTGCTTCCATCTCCTAGGCCAGGGATCTCCAGACTTTCTAAACAAAGGGCCAGTTTTATGGTCTTTGAGGGGGCCAGACAGCGGTCATTGTGATTAGAAAAGGCAAACAATGCCCCATCATTGGTGTCAGCGGGACAAATAGTGCCCCATTGTTGGGGAGAATTAGTGCCCAAGGGTCAGATAAAAGCAAGGAAAGGGCCACATCTGCCCCCCCCCCCCCCTTCCCCGGGTGCAGTTTGGAGACCACATGCCTAGGCAATCGCAGCATATGTAGAGCATGTACCCGTCAAATTTGGATAGCCCCCCAAGGGTGCTTCCCCTTTTGGTCAGAGCTCTGCTTTAAATGCTCCATGCACACTAACTTTTCTTGACGCTCAATAATACTCTGAACCCCCATGGTAATAGCATTTTTTTGTAGCATTCAGAAGCATTTATGAGTGTTTTTACTGTACACTTAGAGAGGGAAAAAAAACACAGGAGAGGTTGATCTAGAAAACAGTTTGTGTAAATTTCCCAGATAATTTCTCCTGCATTTAAATAAACCAAATATCTATACTCAGACAAAAAGTAAATATCTATAGATTTATTATTTCTTCATGGAAAATGGGGCAGACTCGATGGACCACTGGGTCTTTTGTCTGCCATCACTGTTTCTAAATGCAGGAGGCTAGTATGAATGCAGCCTTACCCCGATTCAGTAAGTGATTTTCTCTAGCAGCAGAATCACCTATCAGAAGGATGATGCTTATCTGATCCTGTGGAGTCAGTCTGTCTGCAGCCAGACGCAGGGAAATGTTGCACTATTGCTGAATCTCGATTTAACACTGAACACGGCTGAATCTCGATTGTTAGCAATGAGAGCGACATCTCACTGCCTCAACTACGAAAGAACCAGTTCTATTGGGACTGACAATCAGCATCTTAAAGGCCAAGTTCATCTTTACGAACACGTATTTAGGGTGTAACATGTTACTGAACAGCACCAAAAACCCGCACTCCCCAATCCCGCCATGAGTGTGGGGTGTTCTTCGCCCTGCATCTCTTATCACAATTAAAAAACCGTGCAACTATGCAGGGCTCCATCCCCACAACTGCATCACTCATTAACAAGAGCCTGTCCCATCTGCCACTACAGAAGGCAGCTTGTAATTTTCAATAAACTGCAGGGCAAAAAAAAAAAAAAAAAATCATCTACAGCCAGCCTAGGTGGACTTTCCACTAGTAATTTTTTTTTTATATAGTGGCAAAATCCCCCGTCTGACATCAGCTTTTACAGCAATAAATACCCTTCACCACTCTATCCATATCTAAAATAAAAGTTTTGTCTTTAGTTTTACTTTGCCACAATTTAAAGAACAGATTTTAGACAGATTTACCTAAATATGATGACAAACAAGCCAAGAAGCAGACCACCACAAATTGTGCTCTTAATATGGAAAATGGAAATAATCCCAAACCCATGTTTCCAAAGTTTTCATACAAGTGAAACACCAAACACTGGGATTGATTTACTAAATGCAAATGGACTGAGCACTTTGTAAGTGTAGTTGCTCCAGAGCTTAGTTAGTAAATGAGGGAAAGCTCTACTGACTTCCATCCAATCATCTGCAAGCAGAAAATCTATTTTTGTTTTTTTAATTTTCCTTGCATGTGATTTGTTCTTCTTTGCAAAGTGAAGATTCACTTCATTTACCAAGTTCTAAAGCAAAAGCACTTGCAAAGTGCACAGTATATTTGCCATTAGTAAATCAACCCGTGTTTGTAATAACACTTGTTACATAGTCTCTTCTGAGAAATGGAGTAACTCTGGCATCGCCTACACACTTCCTCTTTTAGGCTGAATTCACACTTGAGCAATTTGTAGGTCGACTTTCCAAAAACGCTCAAACTGAAAAAATTAATTGTTCTCTATGGTGCCTGTTCAAACCTGATCACACAAACAGGTACCATAGAGAACAAAGGATTTCTGAAGTTTTTGGAGCTTCAAGCTACAATTTGCTGAACTGTGATTCCAGCCTTACTCTTGTGTGTTCTACCCAGCTCTTAACATTGCGTCTATGAGGAATCTAAGAAAGTCTAGGAGAGTCAATGGTTGTAATATTTAGGAATTACATATCAGAATCTAAATAAAATACATGTCCCCTCTTTCTACATCATATATTATGCCAAAGTGGTAAATGCTTTCTGACAGCGAAGAGAGAAATATGAAGGCAGCCACTGCTGACTTCTTAAGAAAATGCTGGTTGACTAGCTGCCATATTGATCTGGCTGCAGAACCTGAACACCACAAGTATGCAGAAAAGGATTTTTTATTTTTACCTACCCGCATACTTGCTTCAGCTCACTGACACAAAGTATAGAAGTCAATGGACGAGTATGAAGGCCCATTCAGATGGGTGGGCTGCTCGCAAAAATCTCAGATTCTTACCTGAGAAAAAACTACCCTCTCGCAGCGTGTACACCCAGCCCCAACCAGATCTGTACCCTGTATAAATCAACATCTGGCTGATGCTGTTCATCCAGGTGGTTACATGCAATTAGGGACTCTGATACAGTACGTTTGTGTCTGTGACTAGGGACTGACATAGCAAGGGTGAATTCACACTAAAAAATCCAATAAATCGCAGAGCAGCCAGAGCGATTCACCACTCCGGCTGCTCTACATTGCTGGCTGCACTAGGGGCAGTGTGATGTGCAATTCAGCGTATCACATGGCTCCTTTCTTTGTTTTGTAGGTGCTTTATTTGAAATATACAAAACCATACATTTCATTCACTGCAATGTTGGGCAGTGTGATGCACTATGCTGCCTGACATTGCAGTGCGATTCGGACCAGTGCACTAAAAAAAAATGTAGCATGTTAGCATCTTAGCGCAGTGCTAGGCTGCATTGCAGTGTGAATGGGACATAGGAAACAACTGTGTCACCGCATATAGTGTGAATTGGCCCTTATGCAGGTCATACATGGGTCAAATTTATGCGATCGGGCATGTTAGAATTTTATTGAAAACTTAATTAAATTTCTAATGATGGGAGAATCAAGCCAGAAATGTAATCAAAAAAGAAATGAGCAGTGATCTGGAAAGCAAGAAAGATTCCCAGCCACAAAAATAATTTTCTGTAGCTCAATACGGTGAATTTGAATGCTTGGTCAAATTTTGAAATCAGTGGTGGCACCATTGGATTGCAAAACGCACGAAGTTTCTGATTTTCCAAAGAAAATTTGTTTAGAATTCAACCCACGTATGGCCTGGTTCACACTTATGCGTTTCCAGTGCTTTTTGCAGAAACTCACTACAGTCCATTTAACAGTTTCCTAGGGCACGTGTGCACATCAATGCATTTTCATCCGCTGCATTTTTGGATAGGGTCAGGAACATTTTTTTCTTGCAGCAGATTGCAACACACATAGGTGTGAACCAGGCCGCTTAAGTGCTCCAGGTCTTAAGCAGGCCAAAGACGGATTGAAATTTGACCGCTTCAGCAGGAAACGGACAAATGTTGATCCATGTATGGGTAGGCTGGTTTATACCGAAGTCAATCGACTTCAATACAACCAACCGTTTTTTTTTGTTTTTTTTTTCAGGTGATCACTGTCGGTGGCCCAGACTGACAGTTTTGATGGTGAAATCGAGTAATTTTCTTTCCTTTAACCTGTGGCTGAAAACAAAAATTGAATCATGTAGGGCCTGCCTTCTGCAAAGTGCATGCAGATAATCATCCAGCATTTCTATGTCCATAGATCAGATTGCTGCTGTGTTCACATTCAGAAATTTAGCCACCTTTGTAGTAGTCTATCCACCAGGGGCGGACTGACAACTCTTGGGGCCCCCCGGGCAATAGGGGATCATGGGGCCCCTGTGTCCTTGCCCAAACTCAAAAAAGCCTATGAAAAAGGTACCAGGGGAATCTAATGGGGCCCCCTACTGACCCTGGGCCCTCGGGCAGTGCCCGGGTTTCCAAATGGTCAGTCCGCCCCTGGTATCCACTCATCTGAATGAGCCCCAACAACCAGGCAAATAGCATTTTCACAAGGAGCTCAGCAATGGCAGTTTATACATTTCTATTGACTTGAATCTACTTACCTGGATGGATTTCATACAGCCAGTTTGAACTGGAAAGTTACATTGGAAGGTATTACATGTCCCAAGTTCATCACAGAGACAATGAAAGGATTTCTCCCTAAGCCATGACGTTAGTCGTATACTGGGTATACAGGTTGTAGTAGATTACAGTAGTGTGGAGCCATCTCTAGGACTTTTCCTGGAAATCAGGTCATCCATCAGCACTAATCCCTTGTAATCGCTAGTCAAGCACGGTGACAAGACCAGGGTTGCTGGGTGGTCATCTAGTACTGCTATGTTGTCATGGTAACGGGGGGGGGGGGGGGGGGGGGGGGGCAGGCTGGGTGCGGGCCTCCCTTCCACACACACACCATTAGCAGCCAAGTGCTCCATGGGCCGCCTATACATTCCCCGTAGACATATATACACACACATAGATATACATTCCCCCACAGATTTTTTTATACACACATTATATACATTCGCCATAGATAGATATATATTATATATATGAGAAGCCAGAGCACTCAGCCACCATGTACATTCCACTAGCGGCCTCCTCACCTGCTCTGCCGGGCGCCGTGTGTTAGTAAAACCCGGAGCTGCACAGCGACACCTCTCATCCTCATACCAGCCATCATCATTCCTCCGCTCTGTATAGAAGCTACTATGTCGCGCTTGCGTATTACATCCTAGCGTAAACCCCATCAAGGCAGGACTGCAGGCAGCCAATGAGCGCAGGGAGGCGTGTCAAACTACAACTCCCAAGATCCCATTCGCTGCGTGCTGCTCTGACTCGTGGGCGCCACGAGCCGCGCTGGCAATCTATCAATAGAAAGAAGATGATTGTGAAGGCCCGCCCACCGGAATGGTTGCAGTAGGTCAGCAGCTGGTGTGTGTGGCCTTCATCCAGCCGCGGGCGGGATGTCCATCGTCCACTAAGGGAATTTATCACTGTCTGCTATACAGCTCAAATATGAACGACGTTGCTGCTTAGGCAGGGGGTTTCCAGCCACTCCGTGTTGTTCTATAGTGCAGAGGGCCCCAGTAACAGCATGTCCACAAAACCATGCCAATTGCTGCCTATGTGCCCTGTTCACACTACAACACTGTGGTCATGTACTCATACATTGAAATTCAAGAGCCCCACCATACGCTTTGCGTCATTCGCCATCCTCCTACTCCTGGAGGACGTCAATAATAATTTTTGCTAAATTTTGCAGGTTAGAGATTTTTTATTAATTCACTTTTATTAATTTCACATATAAAGATGGTCTGTATATTCATGTAAGAGTAAGGTGTTGAGGAGAGCTGTTCTAAATAATAATTGTCAGATTGTGCACTTTGTACGTGTAGTTGCACTCTACAAGGGCATTTGCTCCAGAGCTTAATAAACGAGGTAAAGCTTCACTTTGCAAAGAATATCCAATCACATGCAAGGAAAATTTATTCTAGAAAAGTAGCATTTTAGCTTGCTCATTGTTACCCAACGGATAAAATCCAAAACATTAACAATGACATATAAAGCCATTTATAACTCTGCCCTAAATTACATCACCAATCTTGACTCTAAATACCACCTAAACCATCATCTCCGCTCCTCCCACGACCTCCTACTCTCTAGCTCCCTTGTCTCCTCCTCCCATGGATATCTCCAGGACTTTTCCAGAGCTTCCCCCATCCTCTGGAGCTCTCTACCCCAATCTATCAGACTATCACCTACTCTGCTCACTTTTAGGCAATCTCTGAAAACCTATCTCTTCAGGGAAGCCTATCCTGCCCTCAGCTAATACTGGAATCTTCTACTCTTCCTTCCACTCCATCCCCCACAGTTATTACCTTTTGTACCACTAACCCCTCCCTCCTAGATTGTAAGCTCCAAGGAGCAGGGCCCTCCTATTCCTCTTGAATTGAACTGTATTGTTGCTGTATTGTCTCCCGTTATATTGTAAAGCGCTGAGCAAACTGTTGGCGCTATATAAATCCTCTATAATAATAATAGGATGATGGAAGTCAGCAGAGCTTCCCATCATTTACTAAGCTCTGGAGCAATTGCGCTTGTAGAGTGCACAGTCTATGTGCCTTTAGTAATTCAACCGGAAGGAGTCAGGAAAGCACATACTGTTTGAGATTGTTTGTACACAGGCATGTATTTACATCTAAACACAACATATATATAAATGTAAATGTAGGGATGGGGTGTAAAGTAAAGTAAGCAAACAAAAATGATCATTCATCAGTTGAGGGAGTGAGAGATAACAATGTGTAAAGGTACTCACCTATGGTCAATATAATGGCAGACATGGATCATTTTTGGGTTTCATTGAAAAATATAAGTCATGGGAAAATGTAAGCAACAGGCAAAGAAGCACTGCTTATTACAGAGCTGGTTAAGATCCCTGTCCATGCATCAGCCAGAGGGCAAATACTATCCACAGGGATCTCGACTCTAGCAGGCAGTGCAGGAGGTATACATATCTTATTGATCCATAAAAATTGAGAAGGGAATAGAGGAACATAAAAAAGGAATACATTTTACTTATTTTATTTTTACTTGTAAGGTTTCTTTAGTTCATGTATATGCAGATCGCAGGTCACACCTTTGATCTACATATGAATAAAATAGTAAACAAAATGCCAGTCTCTTAACCACTTCAAGTCCAGACACTTTTACCCCATTCCTATCCAGGGCAATTTTCAGCTTTCAGCGCTATCACACTTTGAATGACAATTGCGCGTTCATGCAACACTGTACCCATATGAATTTTTTACCATTTTTTGAGACAGATAAAGCTTTATTTTGGTGGTATTTATTCACCACTGGGATTTTAATTTTTTTTGCTATATAAATGAAAAAGTCCAAAAATTTTGAAAAAAGTGTTTTTCTTATAAAATTTAGCAAATAAATAATATTTCATCATAAATCTTGGCCAAAATTTATTCCATTATCTTTTTAGTAAAAAAAAACGCCAAATTAGTTATAACCAAAAATTATAATTTTTAAACTTTTTTTTTACATTTGTATTTTATTTTTTTATATTATTATTTATGGTTTTTTTTTTTTTTTTACCATGGTGACACTGTACTACTTGTGGGGGTGATGAAGATTTTTTTTTTTTTTTTTTGCAGTGATTGATTTTACATCCATATAGGATGTAAAAGCAATCATTTCTCTTTCTCTCTGCATTCTTGCAGCCATTGAGAAATACTGTGAGCTGTGATTGGTCAGAGCTTGTCACATGGTACAAGTCTGTTGTGAATAGCCTTGTACCATGTGACCTCTGTGATCATTCACATATTTCACACCTAGTAAGCAATGATGTCACAAGTGACATCTTGCTTACTACTTTGCATGTGATCACTGATTGGTCAATCAGTGATCACATGATCGGGACCTGGTACAGAGGTCCCGTCCGACGATCGGTGTTTCACTGTGTCTGGAGGACACAGCGGGCACCGTAAACGTGGTGCTGCTGCTGCGCGCTCCCAGGGAGCGTGCACAACTAGAAATAGTGGGTGCCGTTTATGAACGGCAACCCGCCCCTGGAGTGCCACCGTCCTGCCATTTAAAAACAGGCGGATGGCAAGTGGTTAAAATAGATCTGATCTGCAAGGGGAAAGATTTCATATAACCCCAACATCAAATATTCTATCTTGCCATGGGCCTAGTGATACTTTGGCCATGTATCAGCCACTGTCTTGTTGAATAGTATATGGCAGGGTTTATCAACCTGGGTTTCATGGAACCTCCTCCAGAGGTTGTTAGTGGTTCCATGAGCAAAAAGCTATTTCTGCCTCTCAGATAGGTTCCCAATGACACCAAAGATCTTTTTAGCTATCTGTAAGGAACATTCTTCCCAATGACCACAAATGTAAGTAGCATTTTTAACAATAACGCAGTGGCTAAATGGTTAGCACTTCTGCCTGACAGTAGTAGGGTCATTGGTTTGAATCCCAACCATGGCGCCACCTGCCTAGAGTTTGCATGTTCTCCCTGTGCCTACGTGGGTTTTCTCCACGTACTTCAGTTTCCTCTCACACTCCAAAGACATGCTGGTAAGTTAATTGTCTCCTGTCTAAATTGTCCCTAGTATGTATATGGATGTTAGGGACCTTAGATTGTACACCCCTTTAGGGTTAGGGACTGATGTTAATGTACAATATTTATGTAAAGCACTGCATAAAATTAACAGCACTATTTAAGTACCTTTAATAAATAATAATAACCATAATACTAATGTATCATGAGTTGTAGATATAGTCATTTATAGCAGGGGTTCCCTGAGCTAAGAACTTTATTTTTAAGGGTTCCTCTATGTTGAAACGGTTGGGAAAAGCTGGTATATAGAGGCATCTCCAAGTTTTCTCTATGTATGTGTGTCAAGTATGCCTAAAATAAGAACATAATAAGATAGCTGCCAGTTTCCCATTAAGGACCAGTGTTGTGGATAGAAAGCTCCAGAAAAGATCAGCAGTGCAGAAAATTAACTGTAACTACTTCATGTCTAAAATATTTTCTTAATTTTTACACACTTCTGCATTTTATGCTAGAAAATTACAAATAACGATGTTTTTTCTGCAGAGTCCCTGTAGAATAAAACATTGGGGGTTGCATTTTTATTTATGTGGCATGATATTTGTGCAACTGTTTATCAAATGCATATTTTCAGTAAATTATACAGTTAAAAGAATTTATTGCAAACAAACACAATATAATGTCAAAGGACAAAAGAGAAAAATTCCTGGCTCAACTTGCTAACCAACCTGCAAACAAACCGAATTAACCTAACAGTATGTGTTAAAAACAGGGGTTTAGTTAGCACACATTTGCAAATACATACGTAAGCTACAGAGCCTCATGATGGCACCCCGATATTCTGTAGTCCTAACTCTACAAATTTTGAGAGCACATGTATTGTTGGTGAGGGGGCGCACAGGACACCTTGGCTGCCATTGTGCTATATGCTGGGTGTCCTGTGTGCTCCTGTACCTTTAAGGAAGGGTGGGCTCCCTCAGGTCCACCTGCCCTTGGTCTATCCATTAAATACATGTGCCTCTACTATGGGGGCTCTCAAAATTTGTAGAGTTAGGACTACAGAATATCAGGGTGTCGTGACGTGGCTCTGTATCTGCAAATGTGTGCTAACTAAACCCCTGTTTTTAACGCATACTGTTAGGTTAATTTGGTTTGTTTGCAGGCTGGTTAGCAAGTTGAGCCAGGAACATTTCACTTTTGTTGTTTGACATGCGTTGCCCTTTCATGTGCTCTTTGCTGTGAAAGCCAGTTATAGACTGGGGCAGTGGCCATTTTTTGTACTAAACACAATACCCAATTTTTTGGTAAAATCTAAAAGGAGTTTACATTGAGTAAATAGGGATTAAAACTGCATTCACCCTTGAAATGGCAAAAAACGATGCCACCCCAAACGTGTCCATAGGTGATTTTGTAAACGCTATTACAGCTTATTAATTTAGAGTTTAATCATAAATGATGGCCCTTGAATTATTGCTTTTACTCAAATGCTTGCGCAATACCTTACATAGGTAGCTCATGTGTGGCGCAAACCACAGGGGTGTAACTGGCACTGGGTACACAGGGCTCGTGCCCATCATCCCCTGGGAGGTGCCCTGAGTGTTCACCCCA